TGACACTGCCTCTTCACTTCTGTACTTTTGCCAAGAGGTGTCAAAACTGCTCCAAAAAAAAAAAAAAAGCTTGATTTTGATTAATATAGAGAAACAAGACTTTGCCTGACTGATAATAAAACTGATAAATGACATTTGAATTACTTGTAGCGGTAATTTATTACATAAAATATCTTTTATTTGACATGCGATTAGTTGCTGGAAGCATCAGTCAATCTGACTAGTTTAAACATGCTCTAAAATGAACCCCAGTAAAAACCAGGACTGTCTGCTGCTGGCGTTATGAAATATACTAATCCTGGAGTGAGGGAAAAAAATCTGACTTTAAATATTTAAATGATTAATTGGGTTTATATATTTTTTTTACCTCTCTAACCCCCTTAATTACAAGCAAACTCAGGGGAGTTTCTGAACTAGGTGTGCAATCTGCATGCTTATCACTGAGGCATTGTCTGTGTCTGGGAGGGATTTATGGCCTCTGTTCATGTGTGTTCCTGCTGATTTTATGTTTCAATCCTTCCCTCCCATTTCTTGGCTTTTTAAGGACATTCATTTGTAAGCCCAAGCCTGGAAAGTGAGATTCTGGCCCTGAATGCTCATGTGTCAGGGGAGAGTAGCTTTTCCAAGACCACTTTAGGGAGCCAGTGCTTGGAGACGTTCATCTCTGACCTACTGGCTGGCCTGGGTGGTAGCAGACCTGCTGCTGAGTGCCTCTTTTGATACCTCTGCTCTCTGGTGAATGTGATGGACCTTGAGATGTTAGAACATGCCAGTGGCAAAGAGGACATAAAGACCTCCCAGAATGATACCAGCTCAGCTCCTTGGTATTTGTTAAGCACCTACTGGATGCTTAGTACTGTATTTTGTGAGAGACTTTTACAGGTTCTTTTGAAAGATAAGATAAACTCTTAAAAAAGGTAATAATAAAAGACATTGTGATTTAATGCCAAAATTAATTATATAGACAAAAAATCCACAAGATTACAGAAAGAGAAGAATTAGTGTGGGCCAGGGAAGTCAGGAGGCTTTGTGAAAGTGGCAGGAGGTTGACACCTAGGGAAAGGCTGGCTCACCAGGTATGAGGCTAAACGGTTTCCAGGGCTTCAGAGAAAGTTAGGCAGAGCTCAGGAAGAGCCAGGCTGTGGTCTGAGAAAAGATTCGACATTCTCTGATTTTCATTTTGGTTTCTTTATTCTTCTCCTTTTTCTTTTCTTTCTTTTTTTTTTTTTTTTCAGTACTGGCATTTGAACTCAGGGCCTCACTCTTGCTAGTCAGGTGCTCTACTACTTGAAACATGATGGCAGCCCTTTTTGCTTTTAATTATTTTTTTTAATAGGGCACTACATTTTTGCTGGGGCTGCCCTGGATTTCGATCCTCCTACTTATGCCTCCTGTGTAGCTGGAATTACCAAGTACATACTACCATGCCCAGCTTGTTGGTTGTGATGGGGACTCGCTAGCTTTTTGCCCAGGATAGCCTCGAACCACAGTCCTCCCAATCTCTACTTCTCAAGTAGCTGGGATTACAGGCGTAAGCTGCCACACCCAGTTTAATTTCTTTGTGTTTGACTTTGAGTCAAGAATCAGTTTGTGTGTACATGCAGGCCTAGTGTGGTCCCGAGTACAGAATCCTGTTAACTGCAAGGCTGACTGATTTGTGCTGAGCCGATTTGTCTTCTTTCTGCCCAAAGAGATACAAATTTTGTAGGGTAATAATTTTTCATTAGGCTTGAACCTTTTATTCCTACTGTCTCTGATAAACAATTTAGGTCCCTTCAAAGACCGACCTATAGCTTCAGTTACCTCCTCTTAATATAGGATATAGATGTCTTAGCCTGTTGGATTAGAAATCCTGAGAGAGCTCTTTCTTAGTTTGCTTCTTTTATAGCCCTGATCATCTTAACTCACTGAGCAAGCACTTCTCATTAGGTGCCTGCTATGTGCCAGGCACTGTTAGTAGACTAAGAGGATGTGCTAGTTCCCATTGCCGTCATAATATCTGACATAAGCAATTTATGAAGAGAAAAGGATTATTGTGGCTTACAGTTTTGGAAGTTCCAGTCCATGATTGGGTGGCCCTGTCCCTTTTGACCTTCTGGTGGTGTGCCATATAGCAATGGTGAGGAGCACATGGCAGAGCAGAACATTTCAGGTCATGGCCAGGAAGCCATGGACAGGGCTGGGTTCCACTGCTTCCTTTGAGGGTTCACTCACAATGACCTAAAGACTTCCATTCCATCCCACTTTTTAAAGTTCATACTGCCTCCTTATAGCACCTCCATGGGGAATAAACCTCTAAAACATGGGCCTTTGGGGACATTTAAAGTCCAGACTATAACACAAGGCCCAATTACTCTCTCCAGTTGCTCCCCTCTAGTGGGAAAGGCAGTTAAGCATGCCTGGCAGGGCTTGGGAGGCCAGGCCCCAGGGATGGGGGTACAGGAGAGGAGGAGGTGCGCATGTTTAATTGGACCTGGGATGACTGGTTCAGTGCTCAGATGGGGTGGACAAGAGCACATAGACGTGGAACTGTGTGGTGATCCTAAGAAGCTCAAGGTGATTGAGAGTGACTGGAACACAGGGCGGGGGTCAGAGAGATGGGTGGGAACCAAGCCACCCCTGACAGAAGACAATCAAAAGCACAGTGGTGTTCGGCTTGGAAGCCATATTGTCTATTTACTGTATTATTCTTAGCTTAGTATTAAATTATTGCTATCACTTGGCAGACACCTGGGGGTATGTTTCCTTTCTAGTCATCTTTCCCTGACAACTAACTCATTGTTGCTCTTCAAGGTCAAGGTCAATGTCGGCTGTCAATGGCTGTCTCAGCCCCATACTCCCCTCCATACTGCACTTGAATTTTGTGTCTTCCCTGTTAAACTGTGAGTTTGGAGGCTTTTTTTTGTTGTTGTTTGTTTTAAATCTAATGGCCTGAGGATCTGACTTAGCAGGCATTCTAGAAATGCTACTTGAATGGGTAAGTGGTGAGCTGCCCTATAAGTAACAGGATTCTCTGGGCCAGCTGCCCTGGTAACCCATCAGTGAAGTCTGTGAGCTAAGCCCATGCAAGCTGTTGTGGCTAGGCTATGGAAGTAGAGGAGCAGGTCTGTTTTGATGTAGAGGAAAGTTGAATGCTTGGGGAAGGACAGAGAAGACTAGCACGTGTTATCTTATCTGGTGGTAATGTTGAGCAAGTTCCATTTCACAATTTAGGAACAAAGGAAACTCCTCAGTGATAGTCTTAGGTAGGGCTTGCTAGAGGGGACAGAAAGTAGCCATTAAGTCAAAGCTGCACCCAAGAAAATAGAATTTTTCTTTGCCATGGAGATCATGTAGTCTTCAAGGACCTGGCTCTACCTCAATACTCTGCATCTTTACAGATGGCTGCTGTCCATTCTGCAGTGTAGTCCAGCTGCTCCAGCTCCATCTGTCCCACTTCCATCCAACCAGCAGGAAGGAAAAGGGCAAGGAGCCTTTGAAGGACACCTTCTGGAATTGGTCACTTCCCTTCTACTTTCTCCCTGTTTGCTGGAACTCAGTCTCATGGGCATACCTGTCTGCAAAGAGGCTGAGAAATGCAGTCCTTAGTCTGCTGGGCATGTACTCAGCTTTTCACATCCCTTAGGAAGTTTGAGTTTAAGTAAGATAATGTTACATCTGGACTGGGGAGGATCCTGTGGCTAGCAGTGGCAACAGTGCTGTCAAGGTTTTAGTTGGTAAATTAGGTGGGTTCAGGATTACTGATTTTATCATCATCCTTCATAACTTTGTATTTTTTTTTTT